ATGAAATGCATGCTCTTTCATCGAGGCGCGTGCGTTTTCTCCTTCATAATAAGAAAAATGATATAAATGTGAATGTGAAATAAAAAAAAACGATATAAATATATTCGGCATATAGCTAAAAATATTAATTTTTTTTTAAGATTCTTGTTGATTCATATACAGCCATCTTAAATTATAATTCTACATCTATTTTAATGTACTTTGCAAGAAATTTCATCACATGTTTTCTCGCTTCTGACATCAATCTAGATATCCGCCGCATCCGATTGGGGGATGCTGAGCTGGGAGAGATGAGCGAACTCTGAAAAGCGTTCACATATGCATTATTAAGCATATATACGTACAAATATTCGTCTATACATATACATCTACTCATGTACAAATTTTTGTATAAAACTTTTTACATCTATTAGATATTTAAGTTTAATTCAAAGAACTAAACGTTATTTCTTCATATTATATTATCTAGTTTAGTGATATCAGTTTTGTGGATATACATTGCAAAATACATTTTTATAAGCAAATATATATGCAAGTATATATGCTTAATAATTCTGAAGAATTATTAAGTAATGAATGATGTAAAAGGTTTAAATTAAAAAACTTTTCTTGTTCTTGACATGAAGTCCATGCAGTAAAAATGCCATGTACTAATGCAAATTAAAAGCAATACATAAAAAAAGTTTTTACGTAAAGTACTATCTTCTGTCGGTAATATAGACGAATTTAGCATCCTCGAATAGACTGATGCAATTACCGATATAAACAATCATATACAGAGTGTATAAAGAGTACCGGGAGACGGTGAGATACTTTGAAAACTAAGCATTTTAAGAAAAAGCGTTTCAGATAAAAGTTGTGACATAACATGTTCTATAATAAATATTATATATACTTAAGTTGTCTACTTTGGTGTTATATAATATGACATGTCGATTAGATCTCTTCTTCCGATTTTTTTCCTCTTGCGACAAAGTGCCAATGGTTACAATAGACAAATCTTTTTTAGTAAAATGATTGTTATCAGAGATAATCTTTTTTTATTAATATTGTATTGAACATTATATCAAGTAATTCTGTCGAAGACAGAATACATAATGCAGAATAATTTTATTGAAAGATTACAATATTGCAAATTAATTGCAAAATATTGTTACACCATTGCTATAAAATTGTGGTAACATTAAAATATCTGCTTTTTGTAAACTTGTAATAAAACGTTATAATAATATTACAGTAATATGAAATCTCTTATGAAAATAAAATGAAGCTAGCTGGTCTACATAAATGGAAAATAGGATGTGATAAAAAATAAAAACTTTTTATATGAAAACGCATGAAGATTTTCTTTACCTGTATTTTATGATATTATTAAGTGTTCATTCATCCAAAGATTAATCATGTCTGATTGCTCAACTTTAATATTCGAACACAAATAAATATTTCAAAATATGTCCATTTAAAAATTTAATATAGACATATGACAGATTTGATCAGTAAATTTTTATTATATTATCGTAAACTTTAAATGATTTGAATCAGATTTTTATATTTTATATCAAAATGCTACAATAAAATATAAAATATCTCGTAAATTATTTATTTTTTATAATCTTAATACTTTTACCTTATAACTTTTCATGTACAAAGTAATAAGACAAACAATTGCAATATTGCTGTATATTTACTAATATCTTGTTATAATTTTATATATCTATAATACTATACGGCATTGCAATCTATAATATTGCAATATTATCTGGAATGATCTATATTATACGGGATGAAAAAATATTTTATAAGTTTTATAAGTTATACAATATTTGTTATCTTTGATAATTTATCATAAAGTTATCTCCAAAAAAGTTATTTAAACCTTAGTTGTAAAAACTAGATTACAAATGTAAAGCATTTAAAAAAACTAATGATATAAGAGATTAAATCTTTTTAACATACATTTACGTTTTATGTTTACTATCGCTATCAAAAATAATGTTAAACTTTTCAACAGATCTCGACTAATCAAAATTATATGACAATTCCATTACTGTTATAACTTAATCGATTCAGCCGTTGCTGAAATGTGAAACTGTAGGTTCATCTCGAAGTCTTGCGTAAAGATAGCCACAAGCATCTCGCTACTGTTGTATAATACGTTATTGTTGTATATCTGTATTTGCTGGGATTGAATGATGCTAATAATTTCGCATTACGAAGAAACATCGAGAAAAGAAGTTGACTTGTCGAGTCGAATCGATTTTTCTAAGATGTTGCACAATCTTCAATTTGTTTTTTCCTGAAACGCAACAGCGTGATAATATATATATGATATAATACTTTGCAAAAATGCTTGATTTAGTGTACTATGATGGATTACTTTGTCAGGAGATTTCCAATTATCCGAGCGACAGATACTGATTGATTAAATCAGTTTTAAATCGTTTTTTAGACCCATGACAGCTTAATGAAGAAAGTCATTTTTTTCTAATTCATAAAGTGCCAAGAATGATTTATTAACTAACTTTTTAAATAAAAAAACGTTTCTTACGCATTTTTTTTGCATAAAATTCTCACTTTTACTAAAGAGTACTTGTTCTGAGATCATCCGAAACAATTTCGGATTTCTTTCCACATCATCCTTCATATATATGGCAGAGATGGAATGTTTAGGTTACCAAAGGCCATCCATCATTCATTGATAAAGGCTGGAGATGTGCGGGAGTTAACTTAATATTAGATCTATATATACTTAATATTAGATCTATCTCATAATTATATGTTACATACTGTCTCATATATGTTAAGATTAAATTAAGCATTATTATAACAAAATATATAAGTAGAAGCCTTGCGTAAAGAAGTTATACAGAAGTTATAGAAATACTTTGGTTTATATCAATTATTTAAATTCTATTCTCAACTTCACTTCACTTGTGTACGTTACATCTGTCAAGGATTTCTTAGCTGATATTAATTCGATGCTTCACATGTGTAGCAACAAGTGTTGGAAGAATCGAGTGGTATAACGCGAACTACACCAAATTATCCGCGTTATTCATAGTCTCTCACTTCTGAACATTCATTGTGTCACGTTCTCGTTATCATTGCGAAGCAGAGATCTGCTGTGTATTGTATGCTATATCGTGTTCAGTAGTTGAAGTGGCTCTTGTCTCGGTGCACAAGAGTTTCGATTGGCGAACGAGCTCCATTAATGTGTGAACAATACCGGGTGCGATGAGAAACGTTTCGCGGACTAAACGTTTCTCATCAACAAAACTGCTGGTGCCACAAAAGAAAATATATTGCTATTTCAATATATGATGAACCAAAAGAACCAAAATTTGTTGAAAATAATCAATACAAATTGATATAAGAATCATTGGCGTTATAAATATAAATATATAAATATTTTATTACATAAATATCTTTATATATTTCTTAACATACTTTTTATTTAGCTTGGTGAGTATTAGAGGAGAGTTGCTAAATGTGCATTATTTAAGTAATTTTTTTTATATATTTTATTTTTTATTAAGAATCATCAAAGCACTTCAAACGTGCTATTTATTTTCAAACACTGTAAATTTTTATTTACAAATTTAATTGCAATTTTAATTTAACTTAAACTTTAGTAATCCAACTACATTAAACTGAATTGTAAAATATACTATGACATCCATTCGCGATACGAAATCACGCATGAAATCACGGCTAACCGATCGGTATTACGAAAAAAAGATAATGAATTTGATTTAATTAAACAAAACATGGTCATTCAGGAGTGAATTAGGAATTTCAGAGTACGCGATGCACGCTATGCACATGCCCACCTTCAAATGTAAAAAAAGAATAGAACAGGCGTGTACACACTATTTAATCAATATTTATCATTTTTTATAGACACACAGATATACACACACACACACACGCGCGCATACATGTACGCACAAGATGCGCCAAAAATCTAAATATAATTGAATATTTCATAAACAATGCAATTTTGAAAAAAAATTTCAGACAAAGGTTTGTAAAATTTCAAAGAGGCTATAGAATATTGATTTATTTGCAGATGAAGCCACTATCGAGATTTTTTTATGGTTGCCATTTTTGTAAATAAAAATATCTTCTTTTATCATTCAATATGGTTTTTCTAGTGATTATTCTGAATACAAAAGTATTAAGATACAAATGTCCAATAGTATACAAGATATTTTATACTTTATTCTGGCATATTCTGATATATAATATAAAATATTTTATAAACCATTAATTTTTTAGTAATTAAACCTTAATACTTTTATGTATAAAATAATGAAACAAATCGATTGATGTAAAGAAAGGATATAGCTGTCTTAAAAAAATGTACTTGCACATTTTTAATCATATATTTTTTTAAAATAACTATCTATCTTCTTTATATTAATAGCTTTCTCAATATTAAGATACAATTAACCTATATTATTATTAACTTATTAAATGTGCAATGCGACATGTCCGTGTGCTTCGACTGTCTTCAGACGGCAAAAGAAAACATTGATACATCTCCTCTCCTTCTTTTCGATGAGATACTCTGTTGATTCAAGACAACTCGAGTGTCGAATTTCATACATGACACACACACACATTTATATAATGTAGTTTGTAATGTATGTTTGTAAATAAAAAAAAAATAAAGATATATATATTAAGATATATATACAATAAAGATATATATATATATATATATAAATAAGATATATATTAATATAATAATTCTTTATATACAATACAACAAAAATGTGAAATATCTCACATTTTTGCAGTTATTTGCAGCTATCAAATATCTGAAAATTTATTACATATATGTTTATATATGCATGTACACGTGTCACATAATACTGTTTTTATATATTTTATAATATATATGTATTGAGCAAACATGGAATAACTTAAAAGCATATAATTGCAAAATTTGAAAGATATTTGTAGAATTTTTTTTAATAGTATTTGTAATTAATAGAGCAATTACTTTGCTCTATATATAATCTTATCTGCTTGGTCAAGAATTCGTGGTAAATTAATTTTTAGATCTAGATGTTGTTATTTTAAAGCCACCTCCATAAAATTTTTCATTAGATACCAAAATGTTTGGAAACATGGGTTTGTATGTGGATTTTAGATTCATTCTCATATCGTTCATTTTCTGAAGCTCTTTTTTTTGTGTATAGTACTTTTCTTTTAACTGATACATTTCATTGGTCATTTTTGTCATATCTTGTTTGTTCTCTTCTATATGTGCTTCATACATATTTAATTCCGCGATAAAACACTATGAGAAAAATAAATTTTACAAAATATAAAAATATCATCACATGTTTATCGTACGACAGAATTGCATATAACAGAAAAAAATTCTATTATACGCATGCATATATTTAATATATATTATTTAATATATTTAATATATTTAATAAATATATGTTATTATATATTCGAAACTTCAATTTTTTTTTCAAATAATTTAATAGAAAAATGGTAAATAAAAATAATAAATGTAACAATAGTAATAAATAAAGCTACACAATTATAATAAATAAAATAATAAAATTGGAAAGAAAATATAAAATTTCTCTTTTGAAACTATACATTTTATTTCTTACTTTAATTTTCTTTCCTCTTTTACGCAAGGTACTGTGAATCTTATCGAAGTTTGCCATTTGCTGATTTGGTTGTATTGATAAGATATTACGAATATTCGTATATAATTTCTCGGTATTCTTTAATTTTCTTTCTTTATCGATCATGTCACTGGATATTTTTATAATACGCTTCTGCAGAATATGTATTCTTTTAATAAGCTCAAAAGTAGTAGGATCTGTTCCCTATAAAGGAAAATTAAAGATTGTAGTAAAACAATCAAAGCTATATAAATTTATTGCTTTTTTAAAATAATTAATTTAAATGATTACGTATATTTAGATAAAATTTTAGGTAAAATTTTTATCATTCACTTAAGTGAAAACTTAAGTAAAATCAACTTTAATTATTATTATATAAAAAATGTAATTTATAT